AAAAAGTTTGTAATAATAAAGTAAAACCTGACGTCACTGTACTTACGTCAGACAGATGATTCGCGTCAGTAGCGCAAATCTTTTGCGTCACAAACTGCGTTTAGAATAATTTACTACCTATAAAATTGCCGTTCTGCATTACTGGCCATTTCAAATCCAATTTTTTTTTGGCTTAGAATTCTAATTTCGACATTTTTTTTATAGGATAAGGGTGATAAACGAGCACACAGTCCACCTGATGGTAAGTGGTTGCTGTGGCCCATAGACATCTACATTTATCCTCGATTACGAATAAAAATGCAGATGCCTTGTCACCCGTGAGGACTGAGATTGAATGTCTCGTTTCCACTAAAAAGAGTCTCCGGTTCTGTACACTTACCATACGAAACACAGCAGCATTAAGCTGCTATTTTACGCTGGTATTCTGTGAGAGCGTGGTCCTTCCCCGGTCGAGCAGACCCATTCGTGCTACAACCATACCAGAAATATAGCTACAGCATGGCTCTACCACGTATAATTAAATTTATTTTAAAAACGTGGAATTCTTTTCTCAAAATTAGTGATTTGCTTATTAATTAGCGTTACGTTTTCATCGCATTTGAATCGAACTCAGTGATCGCCAGCGCGAAGTACGCGACGAGACGTGCCTTGCACTTAGGGCTGCCACCTTTTTTTTTTGGAAAAATGTAGTATTTTTCCCAAAAAAGATGCATAAATATAGTACTTTTGGGAAATTCAGGAAAAAAGGACACATTTATTTTCAATCTTTATGCATTTTCCCATTACAATTCAGTTTATTTTAACCAATACCTTAAAAATCAAAAAGATGGCCGAGCGCTGGTTTTCTCGAATGTTAACAGACGCCTAAAAGAAAGTAAGAGTTGACATTTCAAAGTTAATTTAGCAATAATTAAAGAAGATCCAGATTCTGTTTAGGCTTGTTTCGTTACCGTACATGAAACGTGGGTATATATGACGAGAAACCAAAACAAGGTGTGGTTCGTCTTCTCCGCCAGCCCAAAGATTCAAGGTGTCTGCGTTCGCTAGAAAACTAATGGCTTGCCTTTTGGGACGCAGAAGGTATAATAATGATCGACTGTTTAAGTGAAGGAGATTATAATAACCGGAGATTATTACGCATCACTAATCAAAAACTACGCGAAGAACTAAAGAATAAACGTCGAGGAAAATTGCGTGCTTGAGTGCTCTTTTATCATGATAATGCCCCAGCCCATCGATCTAAGATTGCAGGTGCTGCTATCAAAACTGCTGGGTTTCAGGTGATGCGACACCCACTCTCCGCACCTAGTTCCGAGTAATTTTCATCGTTTTACTCACCTGAAAAAGCACCTGCGTGGTATAAAACTGTGCGTGCGTGTAAAAGTGAAAAATCAAGTAGTCAAAAAAGGCACACACCTTTTTTGAGTTCCCGGATCAAGCCTTTTTTTCCAAGGGAATTAACCAACTTCAAACACACTATTCAAGGTGTTTGTCTTAGAGGGTGATTACGTTGAAAAATAAATACATTTTACATATACTTATCCATATTTTCTGCCGACTTCCAAAAAGGAGCCGGTACTCAATTCGACTGTATGTTTTTTTTTTTTTCGTTTTTTTTTTTTTATGTGTGTTACCTCAGAACTTTTTTCTGGGTGAACCGATTTCGATGATTCTTTTTTTATTTGAAAGCTGGTACTTCTCGTGTGGTCCCATATGAATTTGATCAAGGTCAGACCAATAGTTTTTAAGTTATTCTTAAATAACTTATATTGAAGTCGGCTGTACAAAATTTTTAATTTTAAATTATATACGTAGTAGAACTATGCTGCAGCTATATTAGTAGTATAGTTGTAGCACGAATGGGTCGGCTCGACCGGGGAAGTACCACGCTTTCACAGAATACCAGCGTAAAATAGCAGCTTAATACTGCTGTGTTTCGTATGATGAGTGTAGCGAGCCGGAGACCCTTTTTACTGGAAAAGAGGTATTCCATCTCAGTCCTCACGGGTGACAATGCATCTGCATTTTGATACTTTATTGAGGATAGATGTATGTAGATGTCTATGGGTCACAGCTACCACTTACCAACAGGTGGACTGTGTGCTCGTTTGTCACCCTATCATATACATATAAAAAAAAAAGAGTTTCATTGCGTGTCCAAAAACTTTTTCATCAACCTAGTAAATATAATATGATTATATTTACGAAAAATTTTAAAAATAAAATTAGTTGTGTTCCATGGCCTTGGATATAATTTTTTTTAAATTTTATATCTTAGCCTAGGTCATAGTTTAAATTAGTTTACACCCCCCGCCCTCCGCCCCGAACGCGTCCTCGCCTTTTCGTGACTGGTTGGGCTTAGTAGCTGTCGCTTGAACTAAGATCAATTCATATAGTGAAGGGCCTTAGGCTTGGCGAGCCCAAGTTGGATGTGTGTCGGTGGGCTACGGCTACGACGAGCCTAATCGGAGTGGACAACTCGGGCTGACCCTTGACCTCGGGCCAGCTATGTGAGTTCCTCTTGCGATGGAGTCGTAAGGGAAGAGGTGTTTTGGTATGGCGATGCGCCACTCACCCTATTCGACTCTGACGGGGCCGCACCGTTGGTGCGGTGGTGGTGGCGCCGCGGGGGTCAGGAGTGCCGGTATTGCGAGGCGCCGCTCTCGCTACCCTCCGCTGCCAAAACTTCGTTGGCGGCGGAGCCAAAGACCAGATAGGCCGCTGGGGTCATGAAATCTGGTGCTTTTTGGTCGTTTGAGCTTCGATCGTTCTTTAACTCGTATTAACAGTGTTAATCGCGGTCCCCTCACACCTCTTTTACTATGGTTTATATTTAAATAATTTGAATGTCTGTATTTGCTTTGAGCTGACAACTAATAAGATATTTTGTCTTTTTCAGGTACGTTGACTTAACACGACTTTAATAGCAGTTATCAAAGTAAGATTAAACTTCATTCATTTAAATTTTTAATATTATTATGAAACCGTTATTAGATAACACGGGGGCGCTCGAACATGTTTCAACCGACTTCAAAATAAGGAGGAGCTTCTCAATTCGAATGTATTATTTTGTGTGTTACATTAGAACTTTTATATAGGTGAACCGATTTTGATAATTCTTTTTTTATTTGAAAACTGGTGCTTCTAATGTGATCGTATATAAATTTGATCAAGATCTGGATAGTAGTTTTTGAGTTAATGCGTATTTAATTGACCTTGACGACATTGATGGTGTTGTCATTTTATTTATATTGAATCGGTTGTTAAAATTTTAATTTCAATTTATTTTCAATTTCATTCGATTTTATTTTTCAATTTCAAGCCTGTGTGATAGATAGACAGACAGACAAAGAGGTGTTTATCAAGTGTTCCGTCTTACTGTTTTCATTTTCTTTTTATTGGAAATAATAAATCTACGGGATACTATTATTAAGTGGCGAAGCTTGCGAAGTCACTTATTGATTTCACGATGTCTGTCCATCTGTCCATCAAATTCTGTTTTCAGCAATCGATTACTGATCACCCAGGCATCTGAACCTCCTATTTTGAAACTGATTGCTCAACGGCAACCGTTAGAAACCGCTACAAAGCTGATTGCTTCGCCACTTTGCTATGCTGTTAGCTTGCTAGGTGTATTTTAAACAAAGTACGGGCGACAAACGAGCGAAAATCACCTAACTTCCACAAATAATCAAAATGACAACGCATCTGTGTCATTCCCGTGCGCTAACATGGAATGCCTCGTTTCCAAAAAAAAACCGTGTCTGGTTTTGTAATCTCACTAGAAACAGCAGTGTTATACTTTTTTTTATAGAATAAGGTTTTTAGGTAACAAACGAAAACAGCCCATCTGATGGTAAGTGTACGTTGTGGTCCATCGACATTTACATCTATAATCGATTAAAAATCATATCACAGAATCGATGTCAGCCTGAGGGCTAAGATAGACTGCCTCGTTACCTTTGAAAAAGGTCGTCGCTTCTTATCAGCCACCACACGAAACACATAAAAATTATTCTTTTGTTTCACACTGGTATTCTATGAGAACGCGGTTCTTCCCTGGTCGCGCCGACCCACTTCTTCTTCTTAATAACTGGCTTTACGGCTCTGGGATCTAGCCCTTCTGAGCCTGAAGTTACAATATTATATTATAATAATTATTCTTCATAGTATACTGCTTCACAATATGTTGATGCGTCACATTGTGCAGCCCTCGGGAGATTTTGACGGTAACTTGAGCCAGCAGACAGCTGACGGTTGGCGATGGTATCTCAAGGCGCTTAAGCAGACAGGCACCTTATTTTGAGAATCACATCACTATCAGAGCACTTGTTTCACAGTTTCCACTAATAGTTCACATGCGCAGACACTTAATACACAAAATCGCACCACTTTTACATATCAAAGTCCACTTCAAACCATTATTTAAACAATAAAACAGGAGCAGCAAACCGACGCCGGTCAAGTTCCCGCCAAAACTCCTCGAGCCGACCCATTCGAGTTGAAGCTATATATATAGCTGTAGCGTGGCTCTATCACGTAGAAAATAGCTATTTTTTACCCGATCCCATCCGTGCTCCAGCTATTATACTCCTTCGGGGTGGCTCGTAAAAATAACACGTTCGTAAGAATTCATTTCAAACAAATATCTATTAAAATAGACGCCGTTTTATATGCAGAAGGAAAATTTACTATTTTATTAAATAACGTATTAAGATTTCTGTTCAAATTATATACATTTCGTTGATAATAATTGGAACGAAACACGTGTTTTTTTATTTTGCACATTGTATTTTGTTGCGGAAGAGAATCCACTACCTCAGCCATCTCGGGGATATCAGCAAAGGTGGCATTAGGAAATTGAAACAGGAGATGGGCAGCAGCATTGTGCTGAAAACATCGTAATTAAAAACTGCGATCGCTAACTCTTCTGTGTCTACCTTTGTTCAGCAGCGACTTTTGCTAGGCTGCAATGATAATGAGAACATGCTTCGTTTTTTAAATTTATTATATAAAAAACATATGACAATTCTAAAATCAACACGTTGTCGGCTACAAATTTTATATGTGAATAATATTAAATGAAACTTATTTAGACAGTCATTTTTATTGTTATTAACAAGTTATTAGTTGTTTAATGTTTACAATATTGAGTAACATATTGTAAAATTAATATTTGTTAGATTTTTTACATTAGAAATACATGCATTATTCATTAGGTTCATAAAAAAATCAAAATTAAATAATGCTAATTATACGAATTTTATCGCGTATAATTAACAGTTAACTTCAAATGTCGAAAATGGAGTGCTGTGCCCTTTGTCACGAGGATTTAAAAAAAAAGTAAATTAATAGCGGTAAAATCCAGTAATTAGTTTTATTTATTAGGCAAGATTGTTCATAGTGTTAAAAGAACTTGCGCTATGTTTCACAATATAAAAGTATTAAAAGTTAAAAAAATTACCTTTTTGAGCAGACTTAGGAATATCACAAGTTGAAGGTAAGAACTTGACTGTCCTCTAAATAGTTACACTAAAACCTTTATTCCCTAATGTTCCTTCACCTTCAGGGGTGAAATTTTATCTTAAAAATAACATGGGGACGTCCCCGATGTATAACGTATTTAATAAAATAATTATTACAATCGGTTTAACCGTTCCCGAGAAATCATATAAAAACATACGCGTCGAATATATAACCATCTTGTTTTTTGAACTCGGTTTTAATCTAATAATAAATGAGTATCGTTGATCTCTATCGAAAGCCCGTGCCGGATTTAGTAAAGATGCAAGTTTATGCATAAATTAAATTAAATGATGTGTATTGCCTGTTTCAGGAGGGAAGATAGTCTTAAAGCAAAATAATTAAAATATAGTAGGGTTACCACCGATATATTAGTCGCGGCACGTAAGTCTAGCGCTAAACAAAACGGACGCGCACGAATTGAATTGCAGGAATGAGACTGGAGAACCCAATCAGCGCGTGCGAACGATACGCACGTGCCAATCAGCGCGTCTTATGCACAATAAGCCAATCAGCGCGATTTATGCGCAATAGAGGTCACCGTGCAGACTTTCGTGATAGGGTTTTGGGACAGATAAATACTGCAATTAACTATTTCATTGGTTCCATCGGGAATTCAACTGGGATTGCTCGCGTTGAGGCGAGCACTTATCCTTGGTTACGGCTACCATGGCACTTCTTGCCATTATATTTTCTTTATGCATGCATATTTTAGCAAATAAAGTTTAATATCTCATCATTTACATATTTTTAATACATCATCATTATTATAGTCCATCACGTCACAAGTCCACTGCTAAACATAGGCCACCCTCTAGGCATTCCAAAAAGCATGGTCCTAAACCACCTGGATTCATCGAATTCCTGTATCTCACACCAGAAATGGTTACACTCAAGAACCTGTCTTTCTCATCAGTTGTCGTTTCTTCGAGCTCCGTGACGGCTCCGTGGGTAGTGACTTAACATAATAAAGTTACGTCGCCTAGGACAGTAATTTCGAAATTATTTTTTATTATTTTAATCGTGTTATGAATTTAATATTTTTGCAATTTGTAACAATATATTCGTAGTTGTATCTGTCATTTCTATGTATGTATGAATGTAATGAATTTTACAATTAAGTTTTCATCTACTAACAGACGATCAGAATGATCGGAAATTTTGCGATGTAATTAGGACCGACCGATGAATCATCACAGCTTTTTATCAATGCGTGTTGTTTTAGTTTTTTTTGCTTTTGATATTATTATCTTCATCGGACTTACTTATAAAAATCGAATTAAGGAATTTTTTTAAGTCGCTCTTTCTCTTTCTCTCTTCACTAAATGACAATAGAAAGAGACATGTTGTATAATTAAAAGTATGGCCGCTAATTCTTAGATTGTAGCTCATTTATTTTAACAAATTTAATTTCATTCAATAATCTCTAACAAAATCATTGCGTCATTCAGGAAGAATACATTTTTATGTGAATTTTTCAGTCTTTTTATTTTACTTTATGGTCATTTTCTGAATAAACCGGCATTGGGAGGTACGTCCGTTAGGAACACTTAAGGCGTGATATTAGTGCGTATCCACGGCAAGTACTCGTACACTTTGGTGTATACTCCGGGTATGTTCTCGAGACCGCAGGGCGTTGGTCCGAAGCTAACGATGCCGACGACCTCAAACAGTTTTCCGTTCTCGTACATGAGAGGACCGCCTGAGTCCCCCTTGCACGAGTCCTTGCCTACTTCACCGCCGGCGCAAACTTGCCCTACCCATAAAGCTACTTTCCGTCTGGGATTGTCGTATGGTACTTGGCATTCCTGTAAAAATACATTATATACAGTTAATTGCATCTCTTCATTATTGTAAAATTATCATAACATTTTATGTCTTAAAAATAAACCCCATTGGGTTTCTTTATGGTTCTTAGTCGTCTAGAGTCGTAAATAAAAATAAAAATAATTAATATAACTAATTTCATGACAGTCAAGTCGATAGTAAAGCCCTACCTCTCTCGCTTCGAGGTGTGTGAAATTGACTTTCAAAACGTGGTATGTAATAAATAATGATCTGTATTTAAAAAAAAATCTATTGTATTTTAATGTAATGCATAAAATATCGCATTTTGTGTATCGGCAGATATTTCGGAGTTAACAAAGTTGATTTTCTATAATCGTTAAAGTTATTAGAAAACTATTAAAATAAATGGGAATTTCAACATTAGAATTACGATCACGAGTAAGTCACGTGACTAATTGCTGACGTCATTAATTTTTATCGTTTTTCATTAGCTTTAACCACTGTATAAAGTGATATTGGCTTACCCTGCTCGTCTTTTTGGAAATTAAATATAAGAGTTAATCATTCACCTCTATATTAATGTACATCATAATGGTCATCATTGATAACTGCCATGTCACACGTGACCCTTCGAGAACATGGACACTCCATCTACTAAGGGTTGTCCTACATTTAGCTTACCGCTACGAGGCTGCAATTCGAGAACCTTTCTTACCCATTGGTTGTCGGTTCTTCGAGCGGCCGAATGCCACTTCACTTTACTGATCTGTCATCTATTTTCTTCACATATAGTTGTTCTTAATGGATAGGATATAAAATCTTTTTAAAGTCGAGTAAGATGCATAATTAGGTTTTGTGACTATGATTAATTTTTATTGCATAAATTGTTTCATTTAATTTGATCTACTTACGTCTTGCGTCTTGTACGGCAGGCTGACGTGCTGTTTTACATTGCTGCTGCTCTGGCTAGCACTGACTGCGCCCCAACCAGCTGCAAAAAGCCTAGTGTCCAGTGGAGCAGTCTTCGCTATATCGGACAAAGGGAGGCAGATTGGTCGAATGAAATCTGAAATATCATAAACCAATCTCTAGGTTAAGCCAATTAACAACATTATTATGGACTGCACGTGGGTCTGAAATAAATTGTTGTTATTATTATTATAAAGTTATATTAGCTTAAGTTGTTAATGAATTATGAGGTAAATCGTCGTGAATTCTAAATATCATCAGTCATCCAGAATTGTAGGCATAGACTACGGATTTCCATTTGCCAATGTACTGACATCTCTTTCGCTTCTCCCTCATCCTTATAATTACGCATACATGCTCGTTTTGGATTTTAAACTTACAACAATATCTTTAAAATACACATACATTTTGAGTTGATTTGAATCATTATTTCGCTCAAGAATTACGTTACTTTTGTAAAATTTTGGGCAAAAATCTAGAAACATTGTTGAATATTTTCTAATGTTAAAAAAAAACCTGCTGGCGCGCATAGCATGCGTTCATACGCATACATCGGTTATGTTTGTTATAAAGATTTTCCTTCACGCGGTTAATACGTTAGTTGTTTTACTCTTTGTTGATGTTTTCCGCATTCAAACAATATGACGATGTTTTATAGCTTCATAATTATTCCCATTTGGTCGCCATAATGGCGTCAATAAAAATGGACAACAATACGATTGATTATTTTATTTCAAAATGTTGTAATTATATGGATTTGCTAAGAAAGTGATGTCATCATCATCATCATCATTACAGCCCTTCACAAGTGTGGGGGGACGCCCTACACTTCGCCTACCGGTACGAGGCTGCCACTCGAGAACCTTTCTTCCCCATCGGTTGTCGGTTCTTCGAGCTATATGGCCGGCCCACTGCTACTTCAGCTTACTAATCCGTTGGGCTATGTCGGTTACTCTGGTTCTACTGCGGATATACTCATTTCTAAGTTTATCACGCAGAGAAACCCCGAGCATAGCCCTCTCCATAGCTCGCTGAGCGACCTTGAGCTTCCTCATCCGGCCAGCAGTGAAGGACCACGTCTCAGTTCCGTATGTCATCACTGGCAACACGCACTGGCTGTACAGTCTCGTTTTCAAGTTTTGAGGTATACCTGACGAGAAGATGTGTCGTAATTTCCCGAACACTGCCCAACCGTGTTGAATCCGTCGATTGACCTCTCGGTCGAAGTTGGACTTACCTAGTCGGACTATTTGTCCCAGGTAAACATACTCGTCAACAACTTCGAGCTTAGTGTTCCCAACAACTACCGGCATAGGGGTGACATGGACATTAAACATGATCTTTGTTTTGTCCATGTTCATCTTAAGACCTATCCGTTGGTAAAAACTATTGAGGTCATTGAGCATAGTGCTTAGGTCCTCCAGCGATTCTGCCATAAGAACAATATCGTCGGCAAATCGAAGGTGAGTGATGTAGTCGCCATTGATGTTGATACCGTATCCTTTCCAGTCCAGAAGCTTGAAAACATCTTCCAATGCAGCGGTAAAGAGTTTCGGGGATATGACGTCACCCTGTCTTACACCTCTCTGCAATTGGATAGGTTTCTGCAGCACCGCCCAAATTTCGACGGAATCAAAGGCTTTCTCATAGTCCACATACGCCAGACATAGTGGCAAATTGTACTCCTCGGACTTCTGTACAATTTGCCGAAGGGTATGTATGTGGTCTATGGTGCTAAAGCCTTTTCGGAAACCGGCTTGTTCGGGAGGCTGGAAGTCGTCAAGTCTGCGAGCGAGACGATTCGTAATGACTCTCGAAAACAGCACGTAGACGCGGCTCAGAAGGGAAATCGGTCTGTAGTTCTTCAAGAGAGCGTTGTCGCCTTTCTTGAAGAACAAGACCACTGCACTTCTGCTCCACGCCTCCGGTGTAATGCCACCACGGAGGACGGAATTAAAGAGCTTCTGAAGGACTTCAAGTACCGGTTTTCCACCCGCTTTCAGAAGCTCCGCTGTAATTCCATCCTCGCCTTGGGCCTTGCCGTTTTTAATGTGCTGGAGAGCCATTCTAATCTCGCTCAGACTGACGTCCGGGATATCATCGGAATAATGTCGGATAAGACTCGCTCTTGGATCGTTACTCACACTTGCGTGCGGCTCCAACGATGACGTGTACAGCTGCCCATAAAACCTCTCAGTCTCACTCAAAATCTCAGGTGCCCCGGAAACGATGCTGCCACACTCGGTCCTCAGCTTTGACAGTTGGTTCTTTCTGGCAGACAGATCTCTGGCAAAGACTTTGGAGCCCTGGTTTCGCTCGATCGCTTCTTCAATACGAGCTGTATTGAAGTTGCGTAAGTCCCGCCGCATGCATTTGGAGATCTGTCTGTTCAGATGCCTGTATGCTGTCAAGTCTGTTGAAGAATGTAGCTTCATCTCCCGTCTAACAGCCATGAGATTAAGAGTGTGATCGGAGAGTTTTTGTGTTCTTCTGCGGCGGGTCTTGCAGAACTTAGCTCCGACCGCATGGACAGTTTCCACGAGCTTGTCATTCATATCGTCCACTTCATTGCAGTCTTCTAGGCACTGAAAACGGTTTTGTAACTCGAGCTGAAAGGTTTCGGGACTTTGGAACAGAGCACGAGGGGGACGGAGCGTTGACTTCATTAGACGAGACCTCTCCAACTTAACGTTTAGGTTCAGTGTGCCTCTAACCATTCGGTGATCGCTACCAGTTTTTACCCTCGCGATCACGGAGACATCACTGAACAGTTGTCGTCTGGTCGTCATAATGAAGTCAATCTCATTTTTTGTCGAACCGTCGGGGCTCGACCAGGTCCACTTCCTGTGGGGCCGCTTCTGGAAGAAAGAGTTCATCATAAAGAGTCCCTCTTTCTCCATGAAGTCGGCCAGCTGCTGGCCCCTTGGGTTCCGTTGCCCTATTCCAAATTTCCCTACTTTCAGCTCACCGTTCTCTCTTGTGCCTAGTTTTGCATTGAAGTCTCCCATTAACACCGTATATTGGGTTTTGGAGGAATGCATGGCTCTAGAGATATCCTCATACATTTCCTCCACCTCCCCATCGGGGTGTGCCGAGGTTGGTGCGTAAACCTGTATGACCTTCAGCGAATACCGTTTGGTGATTCTGAGTATAAGGTACGCAACCCTCGTCGACACACTCCCGATCTTTACAACGTTGTTAACGAGAGACTTGTGGACGATAAATCCGACACCTCCTTGGGACAGATGGTCGCCCTCCCGGTGATAGAGCAAGTTGCCGGATTCGAGGATTACCGTGTCCTCCCCCTCTCTTCGGACTTCGGATAATCCTATAATATGCCAGCGCAACTTGTCTATCTCTTCTTCCAGCTCCACGATCTTCTCGTCAGTCCTCAGGATGCGTGCGTTGTACGTTGCCAGGTCGAGTCGTCTAAGGTGGCAACCGAACCTCCACCGGAGATTCTTAGCACCCCCTGCCCCGCCGTTACCATGGTCGCCACCGTAGCCAGGAATAGCGGGGCCGCCGGGGACTGGGGGCCGTCTCTTTGTAACTTTACCATGATGGCCACCGTGTTAGCCGTGTAGTGGCGGTTAAGAATATCCACTACCCCATATCTTCCTGTGGGTGTCGTAAAAGGCGACAAAGGGATACAGGCAGGAGATGGGCAGCAGCATCTTCCTGGTAACGGCGAAAATACAATAAAAAAACTGCGGTTGCCAACCCGCTCGGCAAGCGTGGCAACTATGGCAATATACCCCCCAAGAAAGTGATGTAGAACAAATTAATTACAATTTCTTGATGACTTGCAGAATCTAAACGTGGTCCTTCACTGACGACCGTACGAAGAAGCTCAAATTCATACAGCGAGTTATGGAGAGATTAATGCTCGAAGTTTCTCTAATATATATGTGTGACAAACGAGCATTCAATCCACGTGATGGTGAATGAATGCTGTGGCCCGTAGACACCTACACCTATTCTCGATTAAGAATTAAAATACAGATGTGTTGTCACACCTAAGGAAGCAGACGGATTGCTTCGTTACAAGTAAGTATGGTCAACGATTCTCGTCACTCCATTATACGAAATAGAACAGTATACTCGAATATTGGATCAGCAGTCAAGATTGGATTGATAATCCTGATCATATGATTAGGATATCAGATATGTTGTATATCAGATCCGTGCCGATCATACCACAACTTCATATCATACACAACGTGTTTTCCAAATGTTAATTTCGATTCGGACTTGATCTGGACTTTCGGCGTTGCAACCAGCACTCTGACCACAACGCCGAGCGGTCCCTTCAAATTGTAACTATCTCACCTGTGTACGGTGCCATCTGACTGAGTCTCAGTAGCGCGATGTCGTGCCTCCTTAACGCATTGGTAGGATTGTACTCTGGGTGCGCTGTTATCTTCTCGATGGGCAGTATGACGGCACCTGTCGTGCAGTCTTCACCACCGCCTTCCGCTTCGACACAGTCGGGTCCCGAGTTGCTCGTGTCGTATTCACCGAGGCGGACGTTCGCTCTGAGTGTTAGAAATATATAAACAATCAGCTTTACCCGGTTTCGTTCGGGACGGAATGGAAACGCTTTCATGAACATTCTACCGCGAAAACAAGTATTTCTATATTATAGACTGATTATATATTCATCCAACTGTAATTTTTATTTCGTTTATCTTTTATTTTATCCTGTGAATATATAACTTTTATCCGAGGATTCTAAGATCGGCCCTAGTCATGAAATCTATAATAAAAAAAAAAAAACTTTAATATTGTAAATTAAATTTAAAAATGGAAATCTTACGCACCATAACATTAATTAAAATTCTATAACTATCGACCTGATAAAGGTTACAGGTGCACATTAAAAGGAAGACGAAAACGGGCAATATTTTATTTATTTCAATAAATTCACCAGATTTATTTCGGTGTTGAAAATACAAAATACTGTCAAAGCGTGGCAAGTACGGTAAATATATGAGGCAATCTATGGAGAGGCCTGTGTTCAGTAGTTTACTTAGGTTGTAACGAATGAAAAAGAAACCTACTCTCTGAGTCTGAGGCTTGCCTAGATAAAACAGAAACTTTTAAACTCGTTTTAGTAAAAGAAAGCATTACCTTTTGAACTACTGAAAACGTATTGCAATATTCAGTGTATCCCTTAAAACTGGCGTTTTAATTTTTAAAAAATGTTCGGATTTAGGCGAGCTAAATGTTTATAAAAGCAGAGTAGCAAAATTTGCATTTTTGTAAAATGAAATCAAATATTTGGAAGTCATGTAAAATAGAAATAAAATACTTCAATTTTAATAAGTGGATGTGAACTTACGCGAGACCGTAACCATTCAATGACCTCACGAGTTTCTTGCCTTCACGAAAGGATACAAAGGTATTTTTTATTTTTTTATGAAGTTCCAAATATTCATTTTATTTCGCTACAACAAAAGTTCAGTGGCCTCTCCCATAGTGGAGCCACACTTTGTGGGCTGGCTGGTAAACGAAGCTTTTATTTTTATTTTGTGTTGTTATCAGGAAGACACTGTTTGCTATCCGTCTCCTGTTCCATTTTCTTTTGTCGTCTTTAACTTTAACACCCACGGGATGATATTGGGTATTACGGTGCGTACACATTATATAACATAACATGTTATAAAACGTGTTATATAAATGTTATGTAACTCGAACGGCAGAACGACAAACGACAATGTCATATAACATTGTTATATTGCATTGTTATTCTAATGTGTACAGTATTGTTATATGTTGCAATGTTGAAAACCAATGTTACATAATGTGGACATGTTATAAAGCAAAAGTTATACAACAGGTTACTTGATCTGTACGCAACCTTAGATTTTCTTACGGCGCCACTACACGGCTATTGCAAGTGGTTAGTCTTTAAAAATGTAGGGCGTTTAGAACTACGCACATGTGTCGTGTGTGGTGGTTAGTGGTGATGGAAGACTATGCACCACGCTATATCATCTCGTAAGGAATAATTGAAGAAAGTGCATTCTTGGTGTGTCTGATAAATGTAAGCTATATGTATCCCGTGTTTTGTTGCGTGAGGTGCGAGACATCTAGTCATGAGATGGTAAATCCCCTTGTAATAATAAAAACCCTCTCGACGGTTTGATGATGAAGAAGGAGGAGAAACTATGTTAAAGCCATATCTCAATTTTAGTTACTTTGGTTACTTTACATATATTATACAATAAAATTAATGTTACGTATTTCCTCGCGTTAAATTTAACTTCTTTTTAACCTTAACGTTTCGGATACTTACGTGAATAGCACGCGGTGACGGGGCGGACTGAGGTGTTTGACGTCCCGATGTCATAGCCTGGCTATCTTCAGCTTTTGAATTTAAAGTTTTGGTCCGATCCACGCAGAACGAGCTTACAGTATCTTCAAGTCTTACAGTGGAATGCTTGGGTTTGGATTTCATTTTATTAATTATAGGATACCAAGCAGACGGCAGCACATATTCCTACTATATCTACTATCCGATAAATTTTGGATATTTCTAATTTCAAAAGCTTAACGAATCATTTGTGATCAAGAATGCTGTAAAGCACACGAAACGTCGTATTCGTGTGGTTGATCAATACGTACAAGAAATAATTATATGTATATTATATTTTTTTACTTACGGTGTACCAACGGCCAGCACGGGTCCCACCACGCAGTGGCCGGCTGTCAAAACGTATTTGCCGCTGATGAGCACTCCACCGCATAACAGTTTGATCTTGTCTTCTTTTTTGTACTCTATGATTGCCAGCCAGGGGTACTGGTCGATCGAAGTCGCGTTACCGCCTGTAATAGAATTGATATTCACGATTATTTGACTCCATGGTCACGTGCAATCAACTTCAAGCCAAGTAGGGTGTGGATCCGGTGTCTTATGATAAAATGTCTTAAAGCCTGTGATTATACCGGCTCTTTATACCATTTAGACACTGCTATTTGTCGGTAGAAATAGATAAGTAGGTGGTATCTACCCGGACGGACTAGACTAGACTAGAAAAGGAGTCCTACCACCTAAACGTATAGGTATATACAATAACTTGAGCGTGATTTCGGTATTATTTAAAATGTAAATAGGGCTCTGTCTACTTTTATTTGTTGTTACGAGCTACAAACAAATAACTGTTATAATATTGGTTATCTTACTCTTCACACCGGGACACAAGTGTTAAAAGTATTAGGTCTAATTTTTCCAGATCGTTACGGCTTATGCCCGACATCTACGAGTATATCTATATCCAAGAAAGTCAAGTAACGCATTATTCTCAGTTACCGTTTTATTATTCCCAACTTAGATGTAAACAGTTTTTAACCGACTTCAAAAAGGAGGAGGTTCTCAATTCGAGTGTGTTTTTTGTATGTATGTTAAGCGATATCTTCGCAGATTGTGAACCGATTTTAATGATTTTTTTTTATTATATAAGCTTTACGTCAAGGGAGATCCCATAAAATTTAGAAGAAAAATTCATACAATCATAAAGGAAAAACTTTCATATTGGACTATTGTTTAAGGAATTTCATATGATATCTTCGCAGGTTAAGGACCGATTTTAATGATTCTTTTCTTATAGGTTATACTTCCAGGGTGGTTCCATATAAATTTGAAGAAAACCACCATAACCCATAGGTTGTAAACAAGGGTGGAATTTTTTCTTAAAATACCTTCTCTTTTAATGGGGTTGTTATAAACTAATTTGCTTAATTCCGCGTAAAGAAAGAAAATGATGTGTCCTGCCCAGTTTTAAGGGGACCTCCCACCCTCCCTCAATCGCGCGCACTATACCCGTCGCCGTTAATCCCAGCACTACCATCCCCCGCACCAGCACACTAGGCACGACACACCACTTGAACTTTTGTTATAACAATACAAGTCAATATCTTCATTACAGTTTCTCCCAAGCTCACCGCTGAACTTATACGGAATGATATAATATGATAATTGATAAGAAGCAGATAACACGGCTAATGATCAAGTACCGTCGTCGTCCTTTACCTAATTTAGTGCATAACAAATGAATTATGAAGAAAGTGTTAGTCAACTTCATTTACCATTGGATCTGATTGAAATTAGTAACTACTCTGATGTATACGATAGTGTATATACAGTAAAGGGGAGAATTATGATCGAATTGATCCTCTACCATTTTAGAAGTTTTTTATGCGTGAAAAGCATGTACAGATACGTATAATAAATAAAATTGTCTTGTATTTCCCGACCATTTAATGATAGTTTAACGCACGAACCACTTGTTGCGTAATTACGTCACTGACCTTGTTCGTATATGAATCAACAGTGCAATTTTGATTTTCCCGCTGGCATTTACACTCAACACCATATTATAGGTATCTTTGACGCCTGCTCGACTTTATTTTAATTTTATTGTACGTGGTAGCAACTATATTATGGTTCGGCTCGCCCGGGGTAGGACCACGCTCTCATAGAATACCAGCTTAATACTGCTTTGTTTCGTATGGTGAGTGTGGAGAACTGGATACTCCTTTCACTGCAAATGAGGCATTCCATCTTAAGGGTGACAACGCAACTGCATTTTAATTCTTAATTGATGATTAATATAGATATATAGGGCCACACCATCCACTAATCATCAGACGTACTTTATGCTAGTTTGACACCCTTATTTTATTTCAAAAAAAATTGTTCAAATACCTTTTGGATCACGAGTCCAACATCCAATCCAAAATCAAGTGTTTGTTCACTACAATATTATTATCATTATCAACACAACCCTACACAAAGCACGGTTCTGATCCACCTGCATTCGTCGATTACCTGTAGATATTATGAGGTCGTCACCCCCTACTACACTACGCTTGCCGGCACCAAGCAGCCACTTTAAAATATTTCTTTCCAATCTGTTGCCAGCAACACAGTATAAACAATAATATCAGATAGAAGTTATCCTCATTTACCTTTCTTATAAATGAGCATACAGTCTGTCTGATGTTATAAGAGAATAGGAAGAATACATCAATATCGTTTAGAAATTTACATCTGTCCTCAATAAAAATCTAAATGCAGATGCGTTGTCACTTCCAAGGACTAAGGTACGTTATCCTTACTTGCCATACGAAATGCAGCATACTTACTTTTCTTTATTACGGTACTTTTTTTTAGCATGGTTCTTTTTCGGTCGAAATCAATTATATGCTGTATTTATTTTTCTCTTTTTACGCATTCGTGTTTTTTAATTATTACATCGGGCTTGTTTTACAGTATAAATGTAAATTTTGTTGAAATCTAATTATGTTCTAGTATAGCTATAAACTATCGTCTCGACAATACAAAAATATATCGTTTGAATATGATATTAATCGGTCAAGTCTAGGACTCAGCAAGAATTATGTATATACTAGCTATTGCCCGCGACTTCGTCCGCGTAGATATTATACTTGAAACCCGTGCTGTAACATATACGTGCTCCAGCAATAATCGCACTTTCATTGTAAATTCTATCACCCACTTTAGGGAAGATTTCCGTGATCAAAGTTATCCAAATTTCATCTAAATCGGTTCAGCGGTTAAAGCGTGAAGAGGCACATTTGCTCACGCGGCGATGAACGATGTTTTGACTGCCCTGCACGCGCCGGACTGCACAATTTTATACCATCGTGACTTTTAAAATATTGGACCAAATTAAGTAGTTTAAAAGACAAAGTTTATCTATTTTAAATATCAGAAGTGATTAAAGTATTTATTTTGATAAAATCAATTAGTTACTGCAAAATGTGCATTGAATATAAAGTATCAAATTTTATTGTATTTGTGGTTCACTATTTTGATAATAATGGCTTAAACATAAATACTGCTGCGGATTTTTTTGTACAACTAATTAGGAGAAACAAATCCACCATACAATATATTTGTGTAACTCTTACAATTTTTGCACCGCACGCCAATATACAAGTGGCTCGCAGATGCCAGATTTATTCCGACTTACTTAACACTTACTCGTATCGTTATATTTTGACCAATTTACACAATATCTTTATTAATTATAGCCTGTGTTTTTCTGATTTATGAGCTATATTGACCAGGTGACCAGGATTAAGAAAGGAATGCTTCGGTGGTTTGGCCATGTAGAAAGAATGAATGAGGAAAGAGTGACAAAGCAAATCTATGTTGCAGAGGTGAACGGCATAGTCGGGAAGGGTCGTCCTAGGCGAAAGTTTATCGACCAAATTGGCGATATATTAAAAATGGGCCATATCAAGAGTACCTTTAACCGACGAGCGTGTATGCGTAGGTATATGGATGTGGAGGAAGCGAGAGAGGTGTGTCAGGATCGTGCCAAATGGAAGTCCATAATCTCTGCCTACCCCTCTGGGTGACAGGCGTGAGTGTTTATGTATGTATGTATGTATTATTGTAAAGTTACACTAAAATACATTCAGTAGTTTTTGCATGGAAGAGTAACAAACATTCATTCATCCATACATCTATAATATTAGTAGGACTAGTAGGATAGTAGGATAGTGGGATAAAAATATTTGCTAATTCCAAAACTAATTCCATTCGTATTTATGTATTTTTTTTCTCATGATGATATGCATCTACATCGACAGATAATCTTCTATGCTTTATATACGTCACATTCCTGAGCACAGGTCTTTTCATTTCTGAGAGGGTTTTAGCGCAAGGAGGCTGTCCTAATACGTGCTGGCGGACTTGATATGACTTCGAAATTATTATTTTTTAATTTCTCTCATCAAGGATATCAGGTGCTTCAGGTGCAGAGCTTCTATAGCCATGTACCGTTTTTTATGGAATAAAGGTGACCACGAGCATACAGTCCACCTGATGTAAGGTTGATGCTGTGTGTCCACAGCAGTGACAGCTGTGAATCAAAATGCAGATGAGTAGTCATCCCTGAGGACTAAGATAGAATGCCTCTTTTCCAGTAAAAGGGGTCTTCGCTTATCTACACCCGCCATACGAAACACAGCAGCACTAAGCTGCTATTTTACGCTGGTATTTTGTGAGAGCGTGGCCCTTCCCTGATCGAGCCGACCCATTCGTTCTGCAAGCATAATATAGCCGTGTAAATTTATAAATTTTTTTTTAATTTTATTTACAAATAAATTTAACATACCGAATATCCTGTTGCCTCCATAGCTCTCAACGCCGCAGCATTCTGTCCTGGGGTCCGGTGGTGCGACAGATGGTGTACAGACTGTCGGTTTCAATTGAGGACCCAGCACAGGAGCTCTGGGACCGCAGCACACACTGTACTGATCCGGGCCCTGGCACCTAAACGAGCGGAGATTTAAATATTTAAATAATGTATTTACTTCATTCAAATAATGTATTAACTGCACCGTTCGTGTGCTGAGGCGTAGGAGAGTTCGTTATCTCAATTCAGTGGTAAGGGCTTTTTATATGACACTGAAACCGAAGGAGGTTCTCGATTCGTCTGTGTATGTATTTTTATGTGTGTTCGGGCATAACTCATTTGTTTATACTTTGTAAACCGATTTTTTTTTCAAACCTTTTATTAAAATGTAAAAGCTGTCAAGAAATATGTCATGTCTCCTCAGTTTCTTTTAATTAAAATATTTGACCACGACATCGACAAGTTAAAATTGCTGCTTGATTCAGGAGGTCCACATTTCTAATTTTACAGTAGAAGTGAGAAACTTGGAAAATGAAATAGGGAAATAGGAATACCATTATTCATAAAAAATCTGCTTATCTGATATAGAAAGTTAATGGCGAGGCAAAAATTAACCTCCTAAAACCATATCATTCGGCTCTAGAGACTTTGAAACATGCGTTAAAATCAAATATTGTTTTTTTTTTTTTTTGAAAATTGAACCCATTGTTGCCAAGTTTGTCGTAAGGGTTGAGTACAACCCTTATCGTTAAAACAGTAATTAAAATAATTAAACTTTTAACAAAAAGTAAAAACCTAGTTCAAATTGGTAATAAAGGAGTTATTTACTCGTATTTGCTAAAAAAATCATTATAATTGGTTCAAATTTGCCACTATGTCTGGCGTATGTGGACTATGAGAAAGCCTTTGATTCCGTCGAAATTTGGGCGGTGGTACAGTCCCTTTAGCGATGCCAAGTTGACTGTCGGTATATCAAAGTGTTGAAGTGCGTGTACAGTAGGGCTACGATGGCTATCCGAGTACAGAACCAGAGTACGAAACCTATCCAATTGCAAGAGGTGTAAGACAGGGTGATGTTATATCCTCAAAACTCTTCACCGCTGCATTGGAAGACGTTTTCAAGCTTCTGGACTGGAAAGGATACGGTATTAACATCAATGGCGAGTACATCACTCACCTTCGATTTTCCGACGATATAGTCCTTATAGCAGAATCGCTGGAGGACCTAAGCACCATGCTCAATGACCTCAATAGTGTCTCCCAACGAATAGGTCTTAGTATGAACATGGACAAAACAGAGATCATGTTTAATGTCCATGTCACACCTATGCCGGTGGTTGTTCGGAGCACTAAGCTCGAAGTTGTTGACGAGTATGTTTACCTGGGACAAATAGTCCGACTAGGTAAGTCCAACTTCGACCGAGAGGTCAATCGACGGATTCAACTCGGCTGAGCAGCGTTCGGTAAACTACGACACATCTTCTCGTCAGACATACCTCAAAACCTTAAAACGAAATAGTACAACCAGTGCGTGTTGCCAGTGATGACTTACGGATCTGAGATGTGGTCCTTCACTGCTGGCCGTATGAGGAAGCTCAAGGTCGCTCAGCGAGCTATGGAGAGGGCTATGCTCGGAGTTTCTCTGCGTGATAAACTTAGGAATGAGGATATCCGCAGTAGAACCAGAGTAACCGACATAGCCCATCGGATTAGTAAGCTGAAGTAGCAGTGGACCGGCCATTATAGCTCGAAGAACCGACGACCGATGGGGAAGAAAGGTTCTCGAGTGGCAGCCTCGTACCGGCAGGCGAAGTGTAGGGCGACCCCCCACGAGATGGAGTGACGACCTGGTAAGACATGCGGGAAGTCGATGGATGCAGGTGGCTCAGGACCGTGTTTTATGGCATTCCTTGGGGGAGGCCTATGTTCAGCAGTGAACTTATGAAAGGCTGTAATGTTGATGATGTCATTCCCACAATTAGGATGATCTAACTTCACCTAATAAGTTAAAATCCATAAAGCCGTTTTAGGCCACAGATCGTGCCAAACAGAAATACATACTATGGAATGAAACTAATTTTACGGATTTTATCGCGTTTATTTTTAAATTTTGTATGAATCTCCGACGTTTCGGGCACTTCCAGCACCCATGTTCACGGGTGAGGTATTTGACGTCCTGATGTCATAGATTCTAGATTCAACTTTTAATTAAATATAAGAAATCAATATATAAACTTTCTCGAAGAACATTACCCTCCTTCTAGGGCAGTTGGGCAAAAACATATGCACCGAATAAAGAACCTTCTCGTTTTTTGAACTAAATAAAAATAATGTTCTGCTTGACTTATATACTGTTCTGTCTGGCTCCACTGTCCGTGTCGGTGTTTATTAGTTAGCGAGGGCTGGTGATAAGCACCAATTCCTTGAATTATTATTTAAACTGCTTTTGCAAATTGAATATGAATTAAATTAATTAATTTAAAATTCTTAACGTATCTTTTTAAATATAAACCTTCTGTTTGTGTGTATGTGACTGAATTTCTCCCTAATAGTCCAGCTACGAGCTATGTATCCTAATAGCTGGACCGATTTTGATGATATTTTGTGTGTGATTAAGTTGATTCGAGAATGGTTTAGATTCGGCTGTTGCCGATATCCAGAAATCACAAGTGCAAAGCCGGGACGGATCCCTAAATTATATAAACGTTAAGAACTTTTCTCGTAATTTCCAAACAATACCACATAATATAAACTCTCACGCCTGCCAACGAAAGGTGTCGGCAGGGACAACGAACTTCCATCTGGCATGATTCTGACACACCTCTCTCGATTCCTTCACATCCATAATATATCTACGCATACATGCTCGTCGGTTAAGGGTACTCTTTGGGTACTCTAAATTTGGCCCATCTTTAATATATTTTCTGTCTAGAACGTTCCTGGCCGACTGTTCCACATTCACTTCTGCAACATAAATTTGCTTTTTCACTCTATTCGCATTTATTCTTCCTACGTGTTTTATAACAAGTTGATGGATTAGAGCTAAAATATATGAGTAAAACTACTGCAGCATCGCAGTGTCGACGAACTTCCACTAGATGGAATGACTACCTGCATGCAAGTAGTCAATGAATGCAGGTGCCTCTTTTTTGACAATTTATGAAGGAGACCTATGTTAAGTTGTGGTTTTGTCACTGTAGTAATGATGATGATGATGATGGTGGTAATACGAGAAAAATATAATAAATGTTTATAATATTAATTTAATGTCATCATCTGTTGTGACCATAAGATTTTGCACTTCTCTTTCACATCACGTGACAAAATTAGGTAATAGATTGGTTTTAAATTGGATCTACATACGTGACATACCGTAGAACCGGGACCCGGTGTCCAGAGACAGGCGTGTACTGTTATTGTTACCAGGACTAATAACACGGTCCTAATGTCCGACACAAGCGCAACGGGACTACGTTCGTCGAATTTTTTTTATACGTGGTAGAGCCATGCTGCAGCTATATTTATAGTATAGTTGTAGCACGAATGGGTCGGCTCGACCGGGGAAGGACCACGCTCTCACAGAATGCCAGCGTAAAATAGCAGTTTAATGCTGCTGTGTTTCGTATGGTGAGTGTAGAGAGCCGGAGACCCTATTTACTGAAAAAGAGGCATTCCATCTTAGTTCTCAAGGCTGACAACACATCTGCATTTTGATTCGCAAACGAGGATAGATGTAGATGTATATGGACCACAGCAACCACTTACCATCAGGTGGACTGTGTGCTCGCTTTTCACCCAATCTTATATAAAAAAAAAAAGAATTCATGGGCCCTTGTAAGACGTTAAAATTATTTTCTCAAGTCGTAGATTTATTTAAAACTTATGTTTACTGTTGACGGTGTGGTTATTCCATCATAATGTCGACCGCGACGGTGTGTCGTTAACGTGACAAGATAGAAGTGTGAACAATGATACGGCTGACGTCACACCGTGATGAATTCAGAGCTTAGAGGCGTCGTGAGTCACCACTGTTGTGTCACTTACTCGTAACAATGATGCTACAGCCCATAGACACCTACATTTATCGTTTATTCATCATCATCATAATTAGCTTACAACAGTCTATTGTTGGACACAGGACTCCCCCAAGGCACGCCACTTTGCCCGGTCTTCAGCAACCAGTTCCTGCCAGCCGCCTTGCGTAGATAGTCGTCCATCTAGTCAGTGGAGTCCACACTACGTTTTACTAGACGATGTCTCCACTCCATGACACGTCTACTCAACCGGTTAAAAATCAGAAGTCGTCACCTCTGAGGACTAAGAAATGATGCCTCGTAAACATTAAGATCACTAAATATAGTCATTCACCATTACAGCAGCATCGAGTTAAATAGCAGCTTAATACTGCTGTTTCGTATGGTGAGTGTAGAGAACCGGAGACCTATTTTACTGGAAACGAGGCATTCCATCTTAGTGACAACGTATTTGCATTTTGATTCTTAATCAAGGATAAATGTAGATATCTACAGGCCGCAGCATCCACTTACCATCAGGTGGACTGAGTGTTGGTTTGTCACCTATATCCTTAAAAAGAAGCATCCTTCTGCTATTTTACGTCAACTTAATTTCCATTTCTCATCTTCGTCTTGCATTTACGATAAAGCAAATTATAATACTTTAGATTCTCTTTCAAAATCTCCCGCTCCGGACACCTCTGCTTTTAATTTAATCAATTTAACAGTTGCGATGTTAAGAGAGCCATAATGTCCATCCATTCGAATTCGATTGGTAGTGACTGCATTAGTCGGAAAATGGTCATCCCTCTCATTGATCTCCTTTCACCTGTAATCACTTCCATCCTGAATAATTCACTGAATTCTGCTTTTTTCCTTTCAGCTTGGAAAGATGCATTTGTAGTTCCTCTTCCGAAAAAATCCTATCCCTCTAGTTTTTCTGATTATAGACCTACGAGTACCTCTATTTTGTCTTTTCTTTTCAAATTACTTCTATTTGCAGCTATATTATGATGCCATTGGCTCTTCCACATATGTTTTGTATTTATACATACGTAGATTTCACATATTAATTTATATCACGAGTCAATCCGTCGGCAGTCGATTGCTTCAGAGGATCTCTGCACTTGCTCTGGTGAAGCCAACCGTGCACACTAATGTCTTTTGATACACGTTACTAACACGTCACTAATTTTGATTGCCTTCTTTTATGATTGAAATGTCATAAGTATGAACCCAACCTTACATAATCATTAGATAAAGCTTAAGTGAAATTAGTAAATGTCTTCACGTGAGTGTCGTTAACTATTATAAACGATGAACTAGGTAAATAGCACAGTATCCTTCTTTGCAAAACTGTCTATTGTTTTTGCCAAGTACTTAATAGTAATTGACCATAATATGATAGTCGTTGGTTTTTCCACGTTTAGAAACAGACATCAAAGTGGAATTTATTTCTAGTGAAATAATCTTTGTGTTTTATAGGAATAAGGATGAATAAACGAGCAAACTTACCGCATGAATTCATTGTAATTTGCACTCCCGAGAAGTGATTAAAAAGTAGTGTAGTAAGAACGAATGTAAAATTTAATACAGTTTAAATCAAATTGAAATTGTGCACTTATATATGACTCCATGATTTTTCTTGCAGGTAAAAAATATCGCTGAGATGACTGATGATGATGATGATGATGAGATGATTATACTTTTTTTTTCCGAAAAACCTTCATAATAACTTATCAATTGATTTTTGGATTGTTTGCAAGCGAAGGAACCGGTTTACCAAAATGAAACGTATAACGATCTAATACCGGTCTTGTGGCGACTCTACTCATGTTCGGGTTTTGCCTTTCCTTATACTAATAAACGAAAACAAAATTGATTTTTGACATTCATTAAGAACTTGCAATATAAATAAGGATATTTTTGAGAGCGGTGAAATTGCACTTATTACAAAGAGCACAGAGTTGGCACGAGTAATTTTTGCTTATCTACCATTCATTTGAAAATAACTCCTTATCTCGGTTTATCAATAGGTCTAATAGACAATATTGTTTAAATCATTAAACAATATTGCCTATTAGACCTGACTTTAAACGAAATACGTGTTTCGGTAGTTAATAAAAATAGGTAATTTGATTATTCAAAACATGACATGAACGTTCAAGGTGTGCATTTCTGGATTTTAGTAGTTATATATGTATAGTTTTAAGTATAATATGTTAGTTAGGTCTTAGTTATAAAAAATTAGTTCATAACAAGAACCTTGCAAATATTGACAGTTATATTAATATTATTATTATATGGACATTATAATACTATTTATAAAATTAATCTTATTATTATTCAAAGAATATTTACAATTTACTTAGACAATAACGAGATCAAGAGTCAATCGTGTTCCTACTTAATCACTAAAAAACTCCTACAACGAGTAATAAATTTTTTTGTTAAATTTATGTTACCTTCCTATTTGAAAATTTTTATGCTTTCAATGCTTCTGATAGATTTTAGAATTTTATTATAATATATCTTATTGACATTTAATAAGTCGATGTAATATGAAATTTTGATGTGGATGTGGTTAATTTTATTTTGGGCCTAATTATTGTCATTTAAATATTCAATTCGGTAACTCCCCACTAGATGGAATGACGACCTGAGGAAGCAAGTAATCAATGGGTGCAGGTGGCTCAATACCGTACTTTATTGTTATCTATACGGGAGGCCTACGTTCAGCTTGGACTTGTGATGGTCTGGACTCTGGGTGACTTGGAATGGTGATTGCAGTGGCCCTTAGACATCTACATCTATGCTCGATTAAGAATAAAAACGTAGATGCGTTATCACCACTGTAGACTAAGACGAAATGCCTCGTTTCCAGTAAATGGTGCCCCGGTTCTCTTCACTCTCCATACGAAAAACAGCAGCATTTAAATAAATAAATAAATAAAAAAGTATTTATTTGCCTTAAAATACAATCTTAAAATTTAAATAGACAGCTTAATTAATTAATTGTGGCAAAACAGTCTATGACCCAGTTATAACGGGAAACCCATTACTGATGCTATTCTGCCACCAGGGTCTTAGTCAAGTGATCAAACTCACTTATCAACAAAAAATAAGTAATAGGTAATAAAATATAAAAAAAATGTTCACTAATTTGAGGGGATATCTGAGCCACACAGAGCCCAGGGACTGTTGTTGAATCAGTCACTATTTGATGCTGGTATCTTGTGATAAGAGCGTGGTCTTTCCTCGAGTTGAGCCATTAGTGCTACAACTATAATGTAGCTGCAGCGTGGCTCTAACACGTATATATATTCGAAATTTGTATTATATTGCAATACTAACTTGGAATTCTGCACGAAAGTTATGATATCCTTGGACGAAGGTTGTTGGAGTAACGCCGTGAGATGTGGGCAGGAGTAGAGGCTGATGCAACTTCCTTCCTGACCGTCGGGAGTGAAGCACCTACTACCGGTAGGAGATGGTACAGGCTGAGCGCTCGGACAACACACCTGTTTGAACGGCAGAATGGGTTTTATTTTCTTTGTCTTTTTCAATATTTGTAAGATTTATAGCTATTTTTATAATTAACTAGCTATTCCCCGCGTCTTCGCCCGTGTGGAATTATTTTGCGCGAACCCTAAAATAAAAGTAGCCTAAGTTACTCCTTATAAGTTCAGCTATCTGCTAGTGAAGGTCTTATCCAAATCGGTTCACAGGTTTTGGTGTGCTGCGTTTTCAGACAGACGTCGTGGTTTCTTTTCTGAGTTACTTAACATTTATCGTTATATTTTGGCCAATATACACAATATTATGTTGTATATAATGTTATTCTGATATATGAGCTATATAATTGTAAAGTTTCATAAAAATCCATTTAGAAGTTTTTGGCGTGAAAGAGTAACATACCATAAGATACATCCTCACAAACTGTCACGTTTATAATGTTAGTAGGAAGTAGGATACTAGCCGGCTCGGTTGACGTCTTTCTGCCCTTTACGGTAGGTGGCGCTATAGGTTTCAATCCGAATTCACTCCTTACTAAATAAATTTTAATAGGCTTACTTTGTTACTTTACATAATATATTGTCAATTGTTTTATGACTGCCTCGTAAACGCGACAGCTGGTCACGAGGTCCCGGGATCGAATTACTAACGAATAATAATGAATTAATAACGAATTAAAAACTTGATGAGTAATCTTGTAAATATCTTTAAGGGAATTTCTTCGTTCCTAATGATTAAAGCTATGGAGTGGAATATAAAAAGATGCTAGCAAATCTTTTTTCTTATCCGATTACAATATGAGTGTATTCAAGCGAATAGGCTACCATTTACTATCATTTGTGATAGTTTAAGCACTGACAAATAATTAAAAATGTAATATAAATACAGTCGAGTTACCAAAGGCGTTTGATTCTGAAATCCACAGTGCGACTTCCTCAGTATTTCGTAGTCCTGTTGCGATCTGTTAGGCTTATTTATGAGTGTCAGAAGCGCCGGGCACTTGTAGATGTCCACACATCGGCCCTCGTTGCCATTCGGCGCTGTGCACGATGTCTCTGTAACAAGTTTACACATTGAGAAACTTCCTGACCTAGAAGTTGTGCCTGAGAATTTGTGCGCGTGCAAACTTGTTCGCAAAATGAATTCAATCTCAGCCAGTACTAACAAATTTATATAACAATGTTGTCGGCTTTGAAGAAAATACCGTGAGGAATCTTTCGTGTTCGAAAAGTTAAAGAAGAATTCGAATTCATGTGAATACGACCAACACGCATTCGGGCAGAACATTTACCTATTTCCTGCTCCAAGAACCCACTCAGAAAAGACGTAAGGCCTTTAGGCACTGTGACGTAAATATCCTGTTACTTTTCTTCATGTTTGATTATTGTATTAAATATGTTATATGTATCACATATCTTTTACTAGGTGGTCCTTCTCGGTAGGTATCGCCGTTCTCGATACGATCTATTCTCGATCGTTGCTACAAAACGTTTTCGTAAACGTAATCAACAACAGCATATAAACAAAAACGTTTATGTATGCCTTACTAATTTAAAGCCTCCTAGGCAAGGGCGTAGCTACTGCCGTATCAGCCGTATCATTGATACGGGGCCCCGGGCTACAGAGGCCCCGAACGTATGTAAGAAAAATTCTAAGGTCTTCTATGGGACAGGATGTTGGTTTGAATTGTTTGGCTAGCTTAGTTCCTAGGAGTATTAATAGTAAGTAATAACTTATAATCTATATATAATTATTTTATTCAATGCGAAAGTTTTTGTTCCTTTTGTGAAAAATCTTTACAGTAAATTCGGGCCCCCCGACAAATTTTGATACAGGAGCCCTCTAAGGCACGCTACTCCACTGCTTACACTTACCTCTTTCTGCAGCCAAAGTGTTCGGATCTGAAGTTTATTGAGAGTCAATATCCCACACGGAACAAGTATAGCCTACAAATAATTGTTCCGGGTCTGGATGATTGTCCTCGTGCAATTTATGTTTGTAAACTGTCTCTGCGATACAGGAGAAAATCCTAGTGTGGGGTAACGTTTAAAAAAAAACAAAAAAATATAATGACTGGCTGTTAGCCATTTCATTTAGTCCTAGTCCATCTTAGTGACAATGCAGCTGTCTCCTCTTTTGTTTGGAATTAGTTGCGGTTTTCCATCCGCTGCAGTAGGTGGTCTGTAAGCTCGTTTGCCACTTCGATTTTATAAAAAAAAAAGTCACAGACGTGTCAATGGAGCTAGCAGTACACTTGTATGGTAGTGGCTATAATGGACCATAGACATCTGCAACCAACTTCAAATGAAACCTCAAAACCTACGATTATTTTAGACTATAATATTTCCTACAAATTGGAAAGCAGCAACAGACTAGATAACGGTTAAAAGGGGGCAGCAGACTCCTAAATAGAAAACGATGATATGGTGATGATTTTTGATTTTTAATTTAATTTTGTGTTTCGCACGGTAAGTTAAGAGAACCTCATCCTTTTATTAGTATCGAGGTATTCCATAATTTTGTGATTTCCACTAAAGTACACTGTCGATTGTGGTCGTATATATAGGGAATTTTAAACAATTTTTTGCTTTCTCTCCCCTTTTTCTGCCGACTTACAAAAAGGAGACGGTACTCAATTCGACTGTATGTTTTTTTTAAATGTGTGTTACCTCATAACTTTTTACTGGGTGAACCTATTTCGATGATTCTTTTTTTATTTGGAAGCTGGTATTTCTCGTGTGGTCCCATATTTGATCAATCATATCAGACCAATCATTTTTGAGTTATTCTTAATAACTTACATTGAAGTCGGCAGTACAAAATTTTAAATTTTAAATTATTATTCTTTGTTAGGTTGTCTCGATTGCATGAGGTGATCGCTACCACGCCATTCCTAATTTTTTTTGTGTGATTAATTGTGTAACATATATGTTTTTATGATTGTAAGCTGTTATTTTTTTTAAAGTCCCGTTGGGTTTCTTGGGTGCAATTAAACAAAAGAGTGACTTTCAATAATTATAAAAATCTTATTATCACTCCCCCCTATCATCTTATCTCCACGTATTCGATATAAGGACTTTATGATAAGAGGGATACAAGTGAAATGCTCGGATGCAAGGTAAGAAATAAGATGTCATTGTAAATATGCATAATTAATTAATATTGTAAGAATCTGGGCCCTATCTCATATATAATGAATGTTACAATCCAACATATTTGTAAATAAAAGGGACATAATCGAATCGTACGGTAAATACCGTTTCAAAAAGCTACAAAATTGTAAAAGTAACACTAAATGTTTAATTAAACCTCTATAATAGTAAGAAAACACATGTCACTTTATAACAATAATTAATAGGTAATCCTCAACCCAAATGTTCTGCCTGTACCATTTTAAATTTACGTCAATAATGTGTGACGTAAATTTAAATCTGAAATAAAATATTATTACTGTTTAAACATCGATCACTAATAAAAAAAACTAGATATGTGTATCTAGTTCTCCATTCATTCATCCCATGCCAAAGTTCTCTAAAAACTGTCTCCAATTGTTTTGACGTAATTCTAGTTGAAATAAATATACATTAACGTAAATTAAACCCTTATTGAAATTAAAAAGCGCACACAAATGTTAGTAATCGATGTATTTAAATAACATAAAGTTGTAGCTACAATTCTACAATTCTTTTAAATTTTGCACAGTGATAATTTTGTATATCATCTTAATTTTCATTAGACAAATATTAAAGAATGTAAAATGTAAATAGTAATTTCAAATTATACATATTTATATTAGTGTACTTGCTTTGACGGCCCCGTGGCGCAGTGGCTTAGCAATCAGTTGTTGCGCTGGGGGCCTCGGGTTCGAATCCCGCACGGAACAAGTATTTGTATGGCCTACAAATAATTGTTCCGGGTCTGGATGTTTGTCCTTGTGCAATTTATGTTTGTAAACTGCCTCCACGACACAGGAGAAAATCCTAGTGTGGGTGTAACGTTTTATTAAAAAAAAGAAAAGCTTTTAGGACTCCTTACTGATTATAAGTCCGACTGGGTGGGTACCTAGGTAAAGCCCTCCTGTTTATATCTGCAGACAAATTGCTGTCCTTGCACTGCTCAGGCCCAGTCTGAAGGGTATAAAGAGTGATTACAGGCTGTGAATATTCCACCCTAGTCCTCACAAGTGAATAAATACATTGTTTGGGGCGCTCCACCTTACTACACAGAGGTGACAACGCAGCTGTAGCCTGCTTTGTTTGAAATTGCTTGCAGGTGTCCATGAACTGCAGTAGCCACTTACCAGGTGGACTGTAATTTCGTTTATCACTGGAGTTTTATAAAAACTAGTGATAAAATTAAAAATTTTGTACAACCTACTTCAATATTAATTATTAAGGATAACTCAAAAACTACTGGTTAGATCTTGATCAAATTTATATGGGGCCACGTGAGAAGCATCGGCTTTTAAATTAAAAAAGAATCATCGAAATCGGTTTATCTTTCTAGATTAGAGATTAGAAAATTATGAGGTAACACATAAAAAAACATACCGTCGAATTGTGTACCTTCTCCTTTTTGAAATCGGTTAAAATATTGTAAATTGTAGCTTTTATTAGATGAGGCTCTAGTAAAAAATTAGTAACCAAGACTGTCTTGGTTTCTAATTTTGTATACACACCCATGTATCTCTATTTTTCATATCTATTTATTTATTTTCACCAACTTGTAGACGGCTTAAAAAATTGAACTCGTATCAAGGACTGTCGACAACACAATAATAAAATAATTATCAGGATCATCACAGTTCACGTTCAATCAGTGTTGTTTAAGTTTTTTTTAAACTCTTATATTAGTTAGAGATTAAACGTGAGGTAATTCATAAAAACAGTTCATCAAATCAGTATTCAAACCGTATTTTTTGCATGTTATAATGGATGCGCCTCCTGAAGTAAACATGTTAAAAAAAAAGAATACAAACGTGATTGAGCAGTTTCTGTAAACACTAAAACACTTAAAACTACTAAACATATTTTATGTAAATAACTTTTATGTTCCGCCATATTATTAGCGACTCACACGATAACCGTTCAAATTGGATCCCGGATGGATCATCACTGACTGATCGGACGCGAGTTGCGAACGAATGACCTTAGCGAGATGTGGCAGTATCGCGAACTTTATGTCAAGCTCTGAGTGATTGCGGAGTAGTTCAGTACAGTTATTCAAGTTGAATAAAACTATTTTTACGGGTTTTATCGCGTATATTAACTTATTTTATATTGCCGACGTTTAGAGCACTTTACAGCACCCATTTAATTTTTAATCCGGATGTAGCCGTTGTTAACTATGACATTGGGACGTCAAACACCTCAGTGCCCACCACGACCATGGGTGTTGTAAAGTGCTCGAAACTTCGGCAATATAAAATAAGTTAATATACGCGATAAAATCCGTAAAAATAGTTTTATTTAAATTTGTAGTGTTCGCGTATATAATATAAGAAATCGTTATTCAAGTTGAGTATGTGAAAATTTACGAAAATTACGTACCATATTTTTTCCAAATGTATGACATATAATTTTACATAAAAATACTGTGCGATAGCGGCGTAAAAGAATTAATTTTGTAAAAAGGTTAATACCTTAGTAACATTGAACTTTTTGCACTATAATACTGATAAAAAATTATTATTAAAATGTTTACCAAAATTACAATAACATTGAGTACAGTAGTATAAAGATTCATGTTATGTACTCTGGTTCCATTTATTAAATCTCCACACTTTATCGAATTTCTAAATCTAAAAATATATATGTACATATAATAATACAAATATTTCCGCAATCTGTCGTTTAAGGGTCATAATTATGTTGGTATTTCCTCTAACAAGTCCTTCCAGCAACTTAAGTTATTTATCCTTTTGCGCTACCACACATACGACAAATTACTTGTAATTGACGGTTTACGTAACATTAAATAAGAATACATTTTACTTATTGGTCAGATGTACCATATCAATACATCTAGTTTAGAAACATTTGCCTTTATCTAATTAGAAGATTTGACAGATAGCGCGTCAGATGGTAGGTATGTTCGTTACCTACTCTTCGGTGTAAGCGTTTCATGCTTTAGAAGAATTTCTTTCGATTCATCTATCGGTTGTATAAATTGCAGTACTTTTTAAAAACAATGTGATTCAGTTCGAATACCTTAGCTAAGCTACTCTGCATCTATCATAATGGTTCTAGCAGGAACATAATACCAGCGTAAAATAGCTGGCAAGGACGTATTCAGAGGTACACAACGCGTTCTATGTTTTCGTCAGGTGTGACAACGTATCTGCCTTTTGACTATTAATCGAGGGTAGATAAAGTTGTCTGTGAGCAACAGCATTCACTCACATCAGGTGGATAGTTGACTCATTTGTTATCCTTATTCTATAAAAAGGTATTTGATCCCTTTTGAACATACTTTTATAAGGAAAAGCCGTTAGCGATAGTGAGGAGTCAACGTTTTTACTTAATAAATATATTTATTTATTTATTTAACAATTTATGTACAAACAAAGTAATGTTACAATGAAAAATAAAAAAATGATATTTTGTACAAAGGCACTGCTTATTCCATATTGAAATTTATACTTATACTACAGTTGTTTTCTCATCGAACTAGTCACGAACTAAGTCACCCGAGTACATCATTAAGATCTCGTTTAACCGCTTCACCCTTCATACTAGCGTCATTGTCAGTACAGGTTTCGCATCTTTATAGTATCAATTAAAAAAAAAACTAGTTTTATGTAACTTTATAATTTGCGTCTAAATATTTTGTTATGTTAGAATAGATAGCAACGTATAAAACGTTATAATAGATAGCAACGACTAAGTGTAAAGTTTTAACGTGGGGTTTTTTACAAGCTAAATGTTTAGCTATTTCTAGCTAGTTTTAATGTTACTGTTATAATGCGGAATACGTTAATGTGCGCATTAGCTAGATAATGCTGCAGATTATTGGGTGCGTCCGTATCCGTCCGTATCCGTTAAAGTGTGAAATTTTATTGAAAGTAGCAAATATCTGCACTTTACATAGTTAATCTGCATATTAACGGATGCTGCAGCTATATTAATTGTATAGTTGTAGCACAAATGGGTAGACTCGATCGGGGAAGGAACACGCTCTCACAGAATACCAGCGTAAAATCGCAGCTTAATGTGTGTTTCGTGTGGTGAGTGTAGAGACGCGGATACCCTTTTTACTGGAAAAGAGGTATTCCATGTTAGTCCTCACGACTGATAACGCTACTGCATTTTGATTCGCAAACGAGGTTAGATGTAGATGTCTATGTGTCACAGCAACCACTTATCATCAGATGGACTGTGTGCTCGTTTGTCACCATTATCCTATAAAAAATGACAGTGAGTTGATTGTATAGCAAATTTATAATATCAACTAAGTACCTACTATATCTTATTAATGATTTTTTAGTTTTTTTATCTTATTTAAAAGTGCTTAAAAGACGTTTTGACCAAGAATGTTAGACAAAACTACTTTTAGACTTATTACACTTTTTGATTTTTTTAAAAATAAAAAGTTCAACTCCTTCAATATTGTATTTTATATCATTACTAGCGATCCGCCCGGCTTCGCACGGGTCATTTCTGGATCTCGACAAAAGCACCACCTACCGGGTCCAATTATGAACCATCTAAAGTTTAGAGTGGTAAGATCTAGAGTTTGAGTGGATATCCCTGGATGGTTTAGATTCTAAACCATCCAGGGATATCCACTCAAACTGACGCAAAAAAAAATTGGGCTGTTTTCGAGTTTTAGCGAGACTAACGGACAGCAATTCATTTTTATATATAGTATTAGAAATTGTTCTGGAGGTTAATTGTTAAAAATAATAATATTGTGAGAGCGGATGTTGAACTTGCTCTCTTGTTTACGCAATTAATCATTATCAGCAATAAAACAGCTTAGTGCACTACATAATCAGTATAGAGCAAATACATTTCCACCATACCGTAATAATATGTCCCTGTATCACACAGTAGTGTAACGTGAGGGCCGTAATTACACGATAACACAAAAGTATGCAAACCACAGCAAAACTATCCATCTCAATGTAACACAGGGCAGCCTTTCAGCGATACGATCTTCCTTTCTTACACTAGAAGAATTATTACAACGAACAGAACCACGATACTGTCATTCCACGAGTCTTAGTACTCGTAGAATGGTAGTTACCCCGGCACCTACAGTGAACTTTATGCTGCACAAACAAGTGGGCGTTTCTTGATAGATAGTGATAATCTACACAAATATATAAAATTGAAGTGTCTGTTTGTAATATCCAAATAACAACTTTTTACTATATGCATATGAAAGTATACACGGTACTTATAACAAAAACGCGATTTTTTTTCTGTCTGTCTGTCTGTCTGTTTGTTCCGGCTAATCTCCGAAATGACTGGGCCGATTTTGACGGGACATTCACTGGCAGATAGCTAATGTTATAAGAAGTAACTTAGGCTACTTTTATTTTAGAAAAAGAATTAGGGTTGCACGCCCACAATTTAACACCCTAAATTACACGCGGGTGAAGTCGCGGGGAACAACTAGTGTAGAATAAGTTAGAGTAGTAGAGTAGTGTAAGTTGATAGTGTAGAATTGAGGCTACAATCCTACACTTATTTGGTATTATGTTTTATTACTTTCACCTCATTTTAATCAATACAGAATATAGTCAGCCGCACCTAAACCTAACTACTACAGTTAACCTACTGTTATTCCGCACATTACCTAGGAAGTAGTCGTTATTCTGCAGATTATTTAGAAATTCTGCAGATTGACTAGTTAAAGTAAGAAATTAATCTGCACTATAACTGATTTACGCACATTAGCGTTAACATTAACATTAATGAAGTCACCACATGACATAAGCCTCCTTTAGCGCATGGTTTATGTATAGGTAAATCTTTGTACTCTGCGGTGACAGTGCATCTAAAGCATTCTTTGTTTGAAGTTGGTTGTACATAAAAAGGTAGGCTGTAAGTCCGTTTGCCACTTCAGTTTTTTAAAATAAGTTGTTACCTCTGAGGATATAGACGCAGTGCCTCACAACCTGTGTATATACACACACATATATATAGTATACATGTATACAATTAAACTAGGTTAAGTGGGACCTGGATAAGTAAGAAACCTCTATAGCTGGAATTCATTCTTAAGTCCCGACACTTTAGCAGTTAGCACTGACTTACCTCTGTTAGTGGGACAAAACAAACCTCTATATCTGGGATTAGTTCTTTAATTTTATCGTCATAATTACCTCTATAATTGATACAGCGAGTATGTTTTACCTCTTTAACTGAGACTATAGGGATTAGTTCTTTCGATTTTATTCCTCATAATTACCTGTATAATTGAGACAGCAAATATATTTTATTTTCTTTTACTGAGACTATATTTTGTGTACCGGTTTGTTTACTAATTCGTATTCTACCCGCAAATTCTGCACTTGGCTAATTGTGTAAAAGTGATCTCGTTATTTTATTTAATAATCGCACCTCTATAACTGAAATAACCTCTATTCTCACCTCTATTACTGGAACCCTCTGTCAATGAGACATATATTTATTTATACCTGGATATCTGTGATACTGGGTAAGTGGAATACCTCTTTAACTGACACAAATTTGCCGGTCCCTTAAGATCCCAGTTATCCAGGTTTCACTGTATATATTTATCCTTTAGACTTTAACGGTGGTAGAGCCACGCAGCAGTTTTTGCTGTTGCATGTATGGGCCGGCTCGAGCCGGGTTGGTACCACGACCTCACAGAATACCGGCGTGAAGTAGAAGCTTTGCTTCTGCGTTTCGTCTGGTGAGTGCAGGTGGCCGGAGGCCCAATTCCCCCCCCCCCCCCCCATTAACATGGTAGCGGAATTACACGAAGAACTACCCCAGGAGGGTACCAGCACCCCTGGAGAATCCCTCGCTGAGCATCCACGACCATGTTATTCCGATCCTGAGCGTGGGTGCTCAGGCTGCCCCGCGTATTCTGGGGGGGGGGCAAAATTCCGCTCAAAAGCATTACTGCTAGGGGCAAACTGAGCAAG